AATCAGCACTCATATAAACAAAAATTAAAATGCTTTGCGGTATATTGTCAAAGATAGTTGCACACTATTAAATTAGAAAAATATATTTAAAAAATATTTAAAATCGATTAAAATAATTATCATAATTAATTAAATCAAATTAAGAGTTATGTCATAATAAAATAAATAAACAAATGTACATATTAAAAACTTCACAGTAACGTTAGAATAGGAAAATAATGGCAATTAAAAGAGGAAACATGGCCATGAGCGACCTCTAAAAGTCATTCAAATTTGCTTAAATTTTGCAGGAATTAATATAATGATAAAAGGAACAATAGGAAAAAGTACCACATTGATTTTTGAAACTTTTGAAATTGTCAATATATTTGTGCACCACCCTAATATATATGTATGTATGTATGTATGTATGTATGTATGTATGTATGTATGTATGTATGTATGTATGTATGTATGTATATGTATATATGCATGTATAAATATATACATATACATACATACATATATATATATATATATATATATATATATATATATATATATATATATATATATATATATATATATATATATATATATATATATATATATATATATATATATATATATATATATATATATATATATATATATATATATATATATATATATATATATATATATATATATATATATATATATATATATATATATATATATATATATATATATATATATATATATATATGTTGGCCCAATGAAGGTTTGATCATCGGTTAGGTATTGGCCCAATGTTGTATACAACGTTTACCCAACATTAGCCCAACGTTGTATATAACGTTAGGCCAATGTTGTATACAACATTGACCCAACGTTGTATTCAACATTGGCCCAATGTTTTATACAACATTGGCCCAATATCGTATGTTATATATCAGCCTAACGTTTTATGCAACATTAGATCGTTGTTACAAATAAGATGATTTGCATCGCTACATTGAAAATTTATAGAGAAAAAAAAGAATGTATGATACAAGTATAAAAATTTATTTATTTAACATAATTTATTGGTTAAATATACATATTGCAAACACCAAACTTAAACCAAAAACTGACACATTGAGTTTTAAATAAAAAAATTCACTATAAAATTTATAGAGTAGTTTCGATATTGGCTGAGCTACTTGTTATTGAATAGTGTTTAGCTTATGATATTTGGTGCCCACGATTACTACTTTTTCTTACGCTATCTCTATCAGATGTCTGCATAAACCATGCTTATTTGACTTCACAGTTTCTGCAAAAAAAAATAGTTGTTTGTTTAATTATGCACCAAAGAAACATAACAAATTGAAAGTAATTCTGTAATGCAAAATTGAAACTGAAAAAATAAACTTTTCTAAACCACTTACCAATAGCAGCATATGCAATCAACATTTTTCTATTCCAATTTTTTGTCCTCTCCCTGCATAGTTTAATTTTACAACTAGGCCATTTTAAAAAACTATTCTTAGCAAATAAAATATACAATCTCCTTTGTCTTTAACTCCGATTTGTGCCAAATAATAGACCTGCAAAAATACACAACCTGGCAATAATTAAAGTAACTTTTGTTTAGACTTAAATTAATATTAAAATGTAATTTACAAAAAATCTTTAAAGAGTATTTTATTTAAAGTATATAAATTGTACTAAGATATCATACAAAATGCATAAAAAAATTATAAAAAAATATTTACCATTTACTTACGTATTTTCTTTTCTTCCAGAGTACTTAACTTCTTCACTGCTTTTAATAGCAATGACACTCTTTCAGGCAATACAATAATTAGTATACCTTTGTTACTCAAATTTTTATAACTGAATTTGATGTGTTTTGTAGTTTACCAAGTTGTACTTCAATGACGACTAAGAATGAACACTAAGAAAAACATAAGTTTCAGAAAAAATAAATGGGTAGCATTAAAAAAAAACATTATAGCTTAATTGAGCGTTGCATTTTGAAAATGTGACAAGTCACAAAATTAAAATTTTACAAGGGAGTGAAAAATATTTCTCCTGTAAAAAATTTTATTTTTATTTTATCTAAAGATTGTTTCTTTTCTCTAAAAAAAATCTTTACTTTATCTAAAAAAATCTTTATTTTATCTTAATATTCTTTTATTTTAAGTGAGGTTATTTGAAAAGAATATTATTTTGAAAATATTCTTTTCAAATAACCTCACTTTTAAAAAAAGTGTGACTCAACACGTTTTCAAAATACAGCGTTCATTTGTGAAACGAGTAACTTCTTAACTAGAATTACTGATTTTTCCATGACTAAAGAAAAAAATAATTTCCTGACTGTTCCAGGTTTTCCACGACTTTAGCCAATATTAAGAAATTTTCCAGATTTTCAAGGTACAGTACAGACCTTGTCCAATGTTTGTAAATAATTTTTTTTACATATTTTAGTTCTGAATTTTAATAACACTACTTTTAAAAATAATATCATCTATAAAAATATTGTATTACCTTTGTCTATTAGATGAATTTAAATAAACGTTTATATAATGAATAATAATGAATCACCAGCAACTGTTAAAACTTTAAACTGATATGAATACTGATATAAATACAAATACTGTTGTTTTTTTCAACATTTGATTTCAAATGGTTTTCAAAGTTGGTGACACCAACTTTGAAATCCAACAAAAATTTTTTGTTACGTTCATAAACTCAAATGTTCTCAAAACAACTAAAAAACCTGGCCAGTTTTTTCGCAACTAAATATATTTTCTGTGGTCAGTATTCGAGAGCGATCGCTCCGGCTTCTTGACCAAGCCTGTGGTGTAAGCTTTGATATTTTGATTATTACATACTAAAATGTTAATTAACACTCTGACTTTTTGACCGTAATATATGAAAAAGTTTTTAAAATTGTAAAAGTTAAAGCTATGAATAAAGATTTTCAATCATTAGACACTTACCATTTAATAATTTTGTTCATTCAACTTCTCAGAGCAAACATTAAACTTCTGTAAAGATTTTGGAGTTACAGGTAAATCCCAAAGTTTAATAATATTTTTTGTTTTATCATAAGAAAATGAGGATAAATCATCTACACCAAGATATACACAATTTTTTGTATTTTCAATCTTTATTTTGACTGGTCATTTTCGCTGTCTTCCTTTTTTGTCTCCAGAGCAGAAATTTAGCTTTATGCTAAATTCAATCTTGTATTGCTTTAAAAATCTATAAATCAAATCATTAATAATTAAGTTATAACTAAAGTTAATGGTATAAGCTTAAAGTTGTTAATTGTTGTACGCAAACTAAATATAAAAAATATACAGAATTGTTAAATTAAAAAATAATTAAACCTCAGAAACATGGAATATTAGAAAGCTCTGCATAAGTAGACTATAAGTTCTAGTAACATCACTTTTTGTACACTGTTTTAATATGTTAGTAGATGGGGTTTCATAATCAAACACAGAAAAAATCAAACAAAAGAAAAATATTTAAAATGTAAAATATCAGCTTCTAACAACTTCAATGCCACATATATATTATTGATACCTTTAATAATATATCTTATAAAATCTATATAGTTTAAACTATTATGAATAAGTTAAGAAAAAAACATTTATTTTTCAATACTTGTGACTGTATTTTATTTCAATTCTTTGGTTCTTTTTATTAAAGAAGACATTTAAAAAGTCTTCTTTATTAAATTAATCAAACATTGAAAATGTTTGATTTATTTAATAAAGATTATTAAATAAATCATACATTTTAAATGACAGTATAGCAATAAGTATTAAAAAAATAACTTTAAGATCTTACACAAAAATAATTTGATTAATGCCTTTATTTTTACATTGATAATTATATTGTAGTAAATTGTTATAAGCATATTATTTAAATGTTAATTTATATTTTATTATTTAATAAAATAAAACATTAAGTCACGAAAACCTCTTGAAGTTAATTTCTTATAAAGAATCATTTAAGATCCTTAGAAGATTATTAAATATAGCTTCTTTTTTTTTGTTTTTATAATTTAAAAAATTGGAAAATTATATAAAAACCTTTTTTTATTCTTTAAAACGATACCATTTTTAAAAAGGTTTTGCAGCAATTTTAAAAATATACTAATCCGCATTTACATTGGTCAAATATTGGCTAAGGCATAAATGTAGGAACAGATTTTTATAGCAAAATATTACGCCTATAATACATTTGCTAAATGTTGGCCTAACGTAATACGATATTTGCTAAAAACCGATTCGTAGAATTGAAATATTACGCCGGAAAAAAAACATTGGCTAAATGTTGGCCCAATATAGTACGATATTTGCAAAAAACCGATTTGCAGAATTGAAAATAATACGCTGAAAAAAAACATTGGCTAAATGTTGGCTTAACGGAATAAACTTGCAAATGTTAAAACTTACATTGGGCCAATGTAAGCTTGCTGTCTAGGATATATAAATAAATATATATATATATATATATATATATATATATATATATATATATATATATATATATATATATATATATATATATATATATATATATATATATATATATATATATATATATATATATATATATATATATATATGTATATATATATATTTATATATATATATATATATATATATATATATATATATATATATATATATGTATGTATGTATATGTATATATGCATATATATATATATACATATATAACATATATATATATATATATATATATATATATATATATATATATATATATGTATATATGTATATATATATATATATATATATATATATATATATATATATATATATATATATATATATATATATATATATATATATATATATATATATATACTTATTGTAAAAATAATTAAGTGTTTTACGTAATACATACAGTAGGCCATAATAAGTATATGCAATTGTACATACAGTATGTTAAACTGTATATACTTTGTTCCATGTAGCACACATAAATATAATATATACAAGAATGTCTTTAGCAAATATTTTGTTTAATTAAGTTTTTACTATGACAACAGTATAACAACTATTTACATAAATGATATATGTAAACACATATTGTACTAATTAACTATACAAAATTTTTGTCTAATTCATAAACACAACAACAATAGCTATGATTTTTTAAGCTTGAAAACATTAAAATTGAAGGGTAATATAAAACATGCAAAGAAGAATATCGAAATAGCATCTATATTGTTGTTTAAATGTATAGGGGAAAGAAGGGCAACATGGCGAACGTTTTGAAAGCCCTGAGTTATTGCAAAACTCTCAATCGTGAAGCAATAATACTTTCTGAGTATGTTATTAAATTGTTATTTATTGCCTGCATAAATTTTCCGTTTGCATATATAACAATTAGAAATAAATATTAAATAAAAAGTTCATAAATTTGTCATCTGGTCACGTGACCGAGGCAAGATGACTTATTATTCAATTTTTACCTCCAATTTTATAAAATTTTAAAAACTACCAATTACTCTAACTAAACTACCAATTACTCTAACTAAACTACCAATTACTCTAACTAAAGTAACAAAAAATAAACACATATCACCAAAAACTACTTTTAAAGAAGTTAAACTTGAAGGACCACATCCGTTATGAGAAACTAAAAGTGAGGAATTTTTTTTAGGTGCTAAAAGTAAACTTATGCGTATAAAATTGCTTTAATAATATTTCAAAAAACCAATTAGTATTTTAAAATACAAATGCAAATTCAGTTTCATTTTCACCCAATTTAAAGATTTTTTGTTGAGTTGTTATATGAAAACCCATCTTGCCCCATTCGCCATGTTGCCCCGCTTTCCCCTAAACTTATATCATAAATTTATGAAAATTTTTTGATATAAAATGGCATAATTTATATTATACTATATTAAAGTATATATTCAGAAATGTATATATGTATACAGTAATTATTAATAGAGTGATATTTTAACATTTAAAAAAAAATTGAATCCAAGAAGCAGAAAAACAAAAACAAATTATGAATATATTAATATAAAATTAAAAAAATTTAAAAATTAAAATTTAAAAAATTAAAATTAAAAAATTTAAGTACCAAAGCTCTGAAACTTTTTTAATGAATTTCAAGAAAGTAAACAAATGAGGCTTTAGCCAAATAAACAATGATTGCATAAAAAACATATTTTAATATATTGAGGCGTGTTCCTTCTTATTATTTTTATTTTATTGTCAATAAACTGACAATAATTTTATTCAAAGAATAAAATTTAGATATTTAATAAAACCTTAAGTTATAAATATATGATTGTTATAAAATAAAATTTCTTTTAATTAAAGACCGTTTCCACTGTTCTCCAAATTGACCGTCAGATTGAAACTCTTCCCACTCCAAATAATTTTCGCATTTAAATAATAGCATGCATTAGTAAACACAATTTAAAGTTGTCAGAAATGTCTGAACTAAGTGTTAACTATTTTTTTTAATTAAAACTTATAACTTTTGGCTTTTTTTCTTCCTAAGTTTGATTAAAGTTAGCCATTGTGGTAGACAAAATAAACCATCAACATGTATTAGTTTCATTGACAAAAAACACATATAATAAATAAATATATAACAAAAATTATATTAATGCTACTGAACGTTTATATTAAAATTCATTGCAGCCGCAACTTTAGCTGTTCTCCATAATTTTTGTGTCCTAAATTGCAGTTTTCTGCGCAGTTTCCTAAGATTATTGTGTTCTATAAAGGAAAGAAAATGACACACTAAAATTTTAAAATTTGTTTATTCCAGAAAACTTTTAAATCGTAGTCAAAAGTATCTTTTGTATATAAATGAAGATTAAAAAAAAGAACATTTAAAGTCTTCAATTTTAACAGAAATATCTGTACCGATTTCTAAACCAAACACTGCTGATTTCACTAATGAAAACTTACGCAAACATTTATAGGTAAAATATCAATTGTTACAGTTAAAATAACCTTCCTCCATAAAACATCTAATAAGGGCATACATTTATTAGCATTGTTTCCATCTAAACCTACTCCATTGTATCCTCTTATTAATATGTAATGTGTTTTAAACCAATTTTGAAAAGCTGGCCAAACACATAAAAGTTTAGCTACAAAGTTTAGCTACAACTTTCATCATAATGTGGAGCTCTGGAGGAGGAACGATGTGTTCAAGAAATTTTTCTTGATCTTCTTTTAAGTATAATAAACTAGTATTTATGATATTTTTGTATTCCTTCATTTTTATTCTTTTTTTTCCTTCACATGCATACTGATCATAACTTGTCTATGGAACCGAAAAATGCTCTTAGTTTTCCTGCTTCGAGGGAGCATTCTCGTTCCCAATAAAGAAAAGTATACTTGCCAGAATGGATTGAAAGTCCAAAAACACTGTTTTTACATTTTAAATCAAACACTAAACTAAAATTTCCATCATTAAAATCTAAACTTTTGAAAGTTTTAACGAACTTGCGTACAATAACTTGCCGCTTTTAAATGACCGTTTTTATGTTGGCTAACTGGGATCTTTAATCAGAATTTTAACTTTTTTACTAATTAGCTGGCTAATAGTGATGTATAAGAAAATCGAACTACGTATTTTTAAATTAAACCCTCCCTCCTTTGCCCCCCATACGATTTTGTACGCTATTTGAAGACCCCCTCCCACTCAACGTAGTTGAGGAGAGATCCGAAAAATTTATTTTTTTATTTAATATAATTTCTTAAAAAGTAAAAATTTGCATTTTTTAAACTTTAACTTTTTGTTTGTTTTGCTTAGTTTCAACTATTACTATTATATATTTTCAAAAGTAGAATTTAAGTTTTTTTTCAATTAAAGTATAAAATAATATATAACTACCACTAAAATACATTAAATGCAACGGGGCAGCGTCATAAAAACAGGCGAAACAAATGTGTTTATTGTTTACATTTCAAAAATATCTCTTATTTGAAAGTAAAAAGCTACCATGTTTACAGCATCAAAGTATTCAATAAATGGCTAAAAACCTAGTATGTTTTTTTCCGTAAACCTCATATTCATTTCCGTAAACAGTAAAAACGTTAAAATCAAAGTTTTCACATTATTTTTCTCTCGTAACAATTTACTTTCATAATTTCTTTATAGACGTTTGAATTAATTAAAAAAAGAAAAGGTTTCAGCTTTTATATCACTGCTGCCCGAAAGTAATTAGTTAAAATCTTAAACTCTTAGGTTTTAAATTACCTGATATTTGTAAACGTAATAAAACAACGAGCCTCGTGAGGGAGCTTAGTTCACGCAAAATAAAATGGCATTTTTTGAAAACGAAAGGGTCTAAACGCTATATATTATCTCGGATCTCTCCTTAACTACTCTGAGTAAGATAAATTAACTTATTTTATGATGAAATATAAAATATCTTAAAGATAGTAAACATATGTTTCCAAGATTACCACCTTAATTTAAATTTGTATTTACTTGTTTTCATGCGATTCTGCCCATAAAGAACCGTGA